ACCCAGTATCACACCCTCCCCCCTCACTAATACCACAGTATCACACCCTCCCCCCCTCACTAATACCCCAGTATCACACCCTCCCCTGTAATACCCCAGGTTTTTTTTTTATGTTTGTTTTTTTTCCGTGTTTTTTGTCGCTACAGGTGGAACTCTGAATCACGAAACTGCTCGTCCATTCCTCGTTTCGTTTTTTTGTGATTTGACCATATGGTGATTTGTAGTTACGGAATATGGACGCCAATCGCCCTCAATTTGGACAAATCGCAATTTGTTTGAAACCGAATGTCCAAGTCTAGCTTGGATTTTCTGTGCTGTTTGGTGTTTAGTGAGTACTCGAGGTTGATAGTCTCATAGCTCAGGTTCCTTCCTTCATGCTGGGTTCCACCAGTCCCATTCCCCAAACACAGAGTTGGAATAAGCTAATAACTGATTTACAAATTCCGGTTAAAATAACAAAATTTGAGGTTTTGTCCTATGATTATCACTCCAACGCTCTGTTCCATAGGGTGGGCCAAAACGCAGAGAAGGGTTTGACAGGTAAATAACTTTGTTCTAACTTTGTTAATAAATTTGTTAGTAATTCCATTTGTTTGTCGCAGGTCCAATTTATAACTGAGTCTTGGGAGATTCATCATGAGCGTGGATCTATTTTTAATAAATTGTGCAGTTGTTCATTACCTCTGTGTGGCATTATTTTGGAGCTACTACCGTGTGCTGACTTCATTGGAAATATTGGTGTACTACATACAATATCACTGAAATTGTTTTATTAATAAAAAAGTTATTGACTCCTCAAACCCTACTCTGAATTTTAACCAACCTTGTATAACTAACCCTCTTTGTCACTAGAGTTTAGTGCAAAAATGTGCTTCTTTGCATTACCTATCATGCACCCTAGAGGGCGATATCAAACCACATAACATTCTCCAGCTTCTTAAGCTGTTCTGACGCAGCGCTGAGCATTGTATGAGAATTATACAGAGCTGGTAGAATACATCTTTATGGTACAGACGAAGGAATATTTGAAAATGCTTCTTAATAATCACACGTGTGATTCAATCACAATCCAGAGTATATTAAAACCAGAAAGCACTGATTCCCCCTAGCTTCAAAATCCTGAAATAGAATTCTCAATCCTGGAGCTGACATAAAATAGCTATTGTCATTACTACAATGTCACTGCATTACATAGACCCGCTGTGTACGTTAGGAGGAGTTAGTGTGGGTGGCTTATAGTTAAGGGCAGCGTTAACGTTACAGATCCCCTATCCTAACCCCCTTCCCAACCTAAACCATCCCTTAAAGCATGGGTCCTCAAACTCCAGCCCCCCAGATATTGCTGAACTACAACTCCCATGATTCTCTGGCTATCTATGTAATTCAAAGAATCATGGGAGTTGTAGTTCAGCAACATCTGGGGGGCCGGAGTTTGAGGACCCATGCCTTAAAGGATATAGTGTTAGGGAAACAATACGAGCAGCTCAAAACAAAATCTAGCACCTGGTAGGGCTGGGATGGGGAATCAAACAAAGTTTGGGAACAGCTTGATTATATTAAAACGAACTAATAAATAAATAACCCCGGAATCGCAACTCAACTTTAAATTCTATGTGTCGTCTTGCTCAGAAATGCTTCAGACCTGAGAAAGGGAGGTTCTCCCGAAAGCTTGTCCAAAAAAAAAGGTATTGCAAGATACGAATTCTATCTGTTTTTTACATCTACATCACTGGACTGATACGGCTACAATCTCTACTTGAATAATAAATATATAAATAAATAAATAAATGTTTTTCTCCAACATTTGTGGAGCAATCACCTTTTTTAGATTTTTTCCACCTTAGGCCCAGCTCCTCACAGCTAACCATTAGACCTTCTTACATTCATTTCCACATATCACTTACTGCATTAGCAGACATTATTATATTTATAGATTCATTTATTCATTTTTGATATAATAAAGTTATTCCTTATTTTATTTTATTTTTCCCCAGCCGTACCAGTGTCTGGATTTTCTGTATCTCTCCCGGGGTTACAAGCAAGATTTAGTGCCGAGGACACCGTGACAACCTAGGGTCTCTCTGGGACGCTCCTCTTCCTCCTTTATCATTTTTCGAGGGAGGTTAGAGCCACAGAACTACCCTAAACTTTCTCTTTTTAGTACAGAAAACAATAATGTATTCTATATATAACGCTATAGTTTTAATTTACCTAATTAGTTGTTCCCCCACCTCTGAGGGTTTGAAAGGTGAGTTTTCATTATTATACTTAATTTATAAAGCACCATCGCATTCTGCAGCGCTGTCCATGTGTACAGTTGGTACAAGTAAAAAGACAATACAAGGTTTCACAAACTAATAGACGAGGAGATGAGGGTCCTTTCGATCATATGACCAATGTTGCAGAAGAAATGCTTCTAGTTGATGTCCTGAAAACAGCCACTAGAGGGAGATGTGCTTAACGGACACTATAAACACCCAGACCACTTCATCTCATTGAAGTGATCTGGGTGCAGTGTCCCAGTCCCACTTAGTCCTGCAATGGAAATCTTTGCCGTTTTTGAGAAACTGCAATAATTACATTGCAGGACTAAGAATGCCTTTAGTGGCTGTCAATCAGTCAGCCACTAGAGGCACTTCCTAGTTCCTAACGGACTTTTGGTCCCCTAAATTAAGCTGGACGTCCTTACGCTCTGTGTCAGTAAAATCCACAAAGTATTGAAGCAATGGGTCTAATGCGGTCGTGGCCCTCTGGCAGTAGCACTCGCCGTCGGATGATGTCAGGAGGTGGAGCGCCAACTCAGTGCAGAGGCATATAGGCTCTGAAATCGGGTGCGTACGCAAATATTTTTTTTTAACCCTTTATCCGCCAGAGGGGGTGTAAGTTTGGGGGGGGGAACAGATGGCTCTATAGTATACAGATTTGTATTCCTAACGCTAAAGAATCCCTTTAACAAACTAAAATCCCCATAATCCTCCCTCCCCCAAAGGAAATGGTGGTGACTGAACAGCTGGGAGAGCCACAGACTACCAGCCCAGCCCCATTCGCTTCCTCTGCAGTTTGCAAACCAAAACTCCATGCAAAACACATTTGCATTACCTCTGTGACACTTGCTAATCCCTCCAGCCGTAATCACACATTTAGGATTAACCCCTTCATTCAAACAGCAGCGATGCATGTTATCACTCTGCAGATGGAGCTAAGCCTCTTAGTTAATCAGAGAAGGGGCTTTACAATTCGGGGCTTACTCACTAAATATGAATTTTAGCAGAATGGCAAAACGTAGTCAAAAATGGCATGGCGGAATGGAAAACATCTTCCATCTTCTTATGTGCTGTACGTAGAAGAAACATGGGGTTCTGGCAACAGCAGAAGTTTGAAGTGTAATGCATTTACATGCAAATGACAAAATAGAGGCTGAATCAGCCGATCTCTGATTATAATTTTTCAGAGTTTGGTGAATAAACGTTATATTTGAGTAATTTTTATTATATCACGGGGTTGTTTTGAGATAAGTGTGGTAGTAAGTCCAGGACAATAAGTAGTGTGATGTCCATTTTTCTGTGTTTTCCTGACAGTTGCGTGCTGGGCCGTGTGTTTCTGCCGGTTCTGCAGGCTTGGTATGTACATACATTCTGATGACAGGCAGCTTGGAGAATTAGTGTGTTACCATGGGAAATCAATACATGAATTAGGGCAGGTCTCAGGAGACCTCTTCTGTGATTAATCAATTGATTTCCTGAATAACGGAAGCATGGAAATACTGACGCACATGGAATATGAAAAGGCACTCACATGGCATTTTATTCAAATTAACATTTCTTGTCATCCTCTCTATATTCTCTATACAGTTTGTGTGGTTTTCTCCTCATATGTGATTGGAAATAAAATCAGATTCCTAATAGAAGTGCTAATCTGTAACTACACAGAATTTGGATATGTTTTTTCAAATCTACACTTTTTTACTCCCCTAAATTTTAAAATTTTATTTTCAATTCTCCACAATTTGCAGCGAATAAGCCTGACAGGGTTAATTCCTAAACTGTGAATGATTGAAATTTCACCAATACTCTCTATCTCAGGTATGTCCCAATCACAGATAACCCTAAATCACAGTTAACTCTGAAATACTCCATTTCCTCAATTGTTCCTAATAATTCATGATTTCAGAGTATACATTTTGCCTCTGCACTCACTCCTTTGTCATTTATTAGTTAAATCACTTTATTTATGCAGCCACACCCACTGCATGTGATCTATCTACACAGTCTCCCTACACATTTCATGTAAAGTGAGATCTAACGATTAAACTTCCTTTATTGCACATTCTGTTTGATTTAGAATCTCTTGTCTTCTGCTCCCATAATAGTCTGCTAGAGCCCACATAAGCTTCCTGAGTGTGAGTAAAGTTCCATTTATAGAGCAGGAGATATCCTCTAAATTAAACACACTGTGCTGTAAGACCTGATTGGAAAGGAAACCATGTTTTGTTTTGTTGGCTGTGTGAGTCACAGCCAGGGGAGGTGTGGTTAAGGTCGCATAAACAGAATCAAAAGTGATTTAACTTCAAAATGGCAGAGAATTGAGCAGTGAAACTGCAGTGGCATAATCTATACACCAAAACTGCTTGATTAAGCTAAAGTTGTTGTGATGCCTCTAGTGTCCCTTTAATGACACTGTAGCTCTGTCACAAGTGGGGGTTCACTTTCGTGGTCAACCCTTTTCTAGTTTGTAAACAATTTTACGGGTGGGACTCTTCTTTACCTTAACTTGATTGATATTTATTTTTGTATGTGAAGTATAAGAAGGTGCCATATAAATTATATAATAATAATAATAATAATAATGGAATGCCCTACCTGTGCCTTCAGTATAGTTATGGTTTCATAGTGTTGTGTTATTAATTTAAATATATTTATATCATTGTAATAATCTGTTTAATAAGATGAGTAATTCTATATTTACATATTGAGGAAACAAAGCTAGTTTTATCCCAAGCCGGCCTGATCCTCGCTTAGAGCCATATGCAAGTGATCAATCCATACACAGCGGAATGTACGCAGGAATAAAACGCCATAGTCATCTGATGCAATGGAGATATGCTGACCTTGTATTACCCAGTGATGTCCCAGCCATATTTAATGTCCCTCCATTGCTAGTTAAGGCTGGATTGATTTCCCTATAGGGATACGGTGCTTATGGTAAAAGCTGGGATACAGGATTTTTCCTTTGAATAAAGCTGTAATGTATAAATTAAATTGTGCGTCATGACAGCTAATGTCACCCGCGGGACCCTGCAAGTCCCAAAGGAAAATCAGCGCTTTTCGGTTAACTCCTTAGGTGCTGCACAGAGCGGAGCATTGCGTCGTCCTGTGATGGGTTAATCCCCAGGATTCTGGGCTGAGTAGGAGTGCAGGGGTTAAAGCGGTGAACTCGGTTTCTCTTTCTCTGCTAATTACAGATGACAAGTCCCTTCTGTCTGTGTCACCTGCAGAGTGACACATGGTGTGTTAGTCACCCATTATCCCGCAGGAAGGCTCTTTCTGGCTGTCAGCTGCTCTTATACAGAGGTGCGGTTTAACAGGCTTTCACTGCGGGGATAGTAAGGTGTCTTTATAATAAGGTAGTACTAACCGCCAGGGCCGTGACATGCCCTTATACATAGTACAGGGCTGAGATATGTTTTATATGTAGAAAATCTAACTATCTTTTTTTTTTTTTTTTTAAATCATATAGGGAGAACATGACAGTGAGATGCTTTTATACTGAGGATAGGGCTGTGAGCTGTTCTAATACAGAGAACACTGTGAGATGCTCTTATATAAAACAAGATGATTGTGAATTTTTCCTGTACAGATAATATTTCAGGAGGATCTCATATATTGAGATGAGTTTTAAAATGCTGTCATATAAGAAGCAGGGATGTAAGATACCCTTTTAGATGAGATATTCCGTATATCTTTATACAAAGAATAGGGGGCTGTAAGACACCCAGAAAAAGAGGACATAAATGCAAGATGCTCTTATACAGAGAATAGTGTATTAGATGCTGTTATACACAGGACAGAGATATAAGGTGCTTTAATACAGGGACAAGGTCCATGAGATATGCTTATATGCAGACTAAGGATGTAATGTGCTTATATAGAGGGAACAGGGCTGTGGCATGCTCTCATATACAGTCTATTTATGTCTTATACAGAGATGCCCCACAGACAGACCGTTAGGAGACGTCCTTTTAAAGTGGTTTATTTCTAACGAGGATTAGACCAAAGACATTCCCAAACTGGATTATAAGAGCTGTGTCCAGCATGTCACAATAAGAAGCTCTGCTGTCTCTTTAAATCCCTCCTCCCTAGGATGCAAGCCCTCCTCTAGTCTGTGTGTCTCTCCCTCTTACTGTCACAGATCATCCCTGCTCTCTCTGTCTGCCCCTTCCCCTGCTCTCCTCTGTCAGCCTGGCAGCATTCCTGAGCCCCTTCCCCTGCTCGCCTCTACCATCCTGGCAGCATCCCTGAGCCCCTTCCCCTGCTGTCCTCTTGGCAGCATCCCTGAGCTGCCAGAACCAGGGTACCACTAGGCATCCCTCATTGTCTGCCTCTCCTTCTCTACATCCCAATTCCTTGCTCTCTGAATCCTCTCCCATTGCCCCCCTCGTCCCCCCACCCCTCTTTATCCTTTCTCTGTCTCTCCATCACTCCCCCCTCTCCTCTGTGCCTCCCCCCTCCCCCTCTCTTTCTGCCACATCTCTCCTCCTGCCGCAATGGTACATGTTTTAGCGGCGGGCAGCCTTTTCTTCCCAGGTCTGTTTCTCCTTTCCAAGGCAGGACTGCGGAGGCTGCAGCTTTTCCGTGGCGAGGAATCTAACACCATCATAGTGTCTGCCAGGTAGGTATTGGCAATGCCAGGCTGCCCTCTCTGCCATCCCTGCAGGGCACAGGATGAGCTGCTGCAAGGACAGGACAATGGCATGGAATTAGAGGGAGGGGTGTCTGGAGGGCACGCTGGGGGCAGAGGGATAATGGAGAGTTTAAGGATGGTGTGACATTGTACAGAGGGCACAGGGTCATTTAACGTTCATATCAGTGAATATACACAAATTATAGAAATGTCTGTTCACCCACCCAGTTCATATTAGCCCATTAACATTGTGTGTGCATGTATGTCATTGTACGCCTGTATATCTGTGTATATTAGCCTACTGCATTAACATTGTATGTGTGCATGCCATTCACCATCAGTGCACATTGTGTGTATGTATGTCATTGTATGCCTGTATACCTGTGTATATGCATCAGTTCATATTAGCCCATTAACATTGTGTGTGTGCATGTATGTCATTGTACGCCTGTATATCTGTGTATATTAGCCTACTGCATTAACATTGTATGTGTGCATGCCATTCACCATCAGTGCACATTGTGTGTATGTATGTCATTGTATGCCTGTATACCTGTGTATATGCATCAGTTCATATTAGCCCATTAACATTGTGTGTGTGCATGTATGTCATTGTACGCCTGTATATCTGTGTATATTAGCCTACTGCATTAACATTGTATGTGTGCATGCCATTCACCATCAGTGCACATTGTGTGTATGTATGTCATTGTATGCCTGTATACCTGTGTATATGCATCAGTTCATATTAGCCCATTAACATTGTGTGTGTGCATGTATGTCATTGTACGCCTGTTTATCTGTGTATATTAGCCTACTGCATTAACATTGTATGTGTGCATGCCATTCACCATCAGTGCACATTGTGTGTATGTATGTCATTGTACGCCTGTATACCTGTGTATATGCATCAGCTGCACATTATTTGTCTGTAATTCTAAAATTGTCTTCGCTTCAAGGTTTGTCATCCTTGTACACCTGATAATGGTGTCAGTGTAGGAATGTAGGCCAGCCCAGATATATCTCAGATGGTAGTATTGTATCGGCATATGAATATAAGCTGGTCAATGTGTCTTTGATAAATGTACCAGTGTAGGAATCTCTATGAGCATTGTTAGCCAGTCCATATAAGTTTGATAGTTGTATCAGTGTAGGAATATAGACTAATCCATGTATACATGGTTATTGTATCAGTGTAACTATATGGGCTAGTCTTTCTATTGTTGATAATAAATGTAGGACAGTCCACGGATCTTTGATAATTGCATCAATGTGGGAATGTAGGCCAGTCCCTGCATGTTTGACAATTGTATGAGCATGGAAACGTAGGCCAGTCTCTAAATGCTTGATAATTGTATCAGTGCAGGAATGTAGACTGGTCCATGTATGTTTCATAATTGAATAATTGTAAGAATTGAGGTTCATGCATTTTCGGTAACTACATCAGTGTAGGAATGTATGTTGATCCATATATGTTTGATAACTGTATCAACATATGAAAGTTGGCATATCTTTGTATCTCTGATAATTGTATCAGTGAATAATCTAATCCATTTTTGAATGTGGATGATTTTTAAGTCAGAGATAATGGTATCAGTGTAGAACTGAAGACATGTTCTCATGTTTCTGATAACTGTATCCAATTATGAAATGTGGACCAGTGCATTTATATCTCATATATATTCTCATATAATTGTATCATTTAGGAATGTAGGCCAGTCCATGTAATTCTCTTATAATTGTAGCAGGGTGCTAGTCCATGTATATATTATATAATTATAATTATTGGTTTAGGAATGTAGGCCATATCATTTTATCAGTTAAGGAATATAGGTTATATAATTTGTATGATTGTATTAGTGAGATCGATAATCATATCAATGGGCTAGTCCATGTATATCTCCAGTAATTGTATCAGTGAAGGAATGTATGCCAGTCTATATATAGATATATTTTATAATTATATGAATGAATGTCATTTATCTTGTCTCTGAAAGTAGAAGGAGTTTAGGAATGCAGGCTACTTCCCATGATTGTGGTAACTGTATGAGTGTAGGAATAAAGGCCAGTTCTCATGACAGTGGTTATTGTATAAATGTAAGAATGAAGGCCATTTCTCGTGACTATGATACTTGTATGAGTGTAAGAGTTGTCTGTGATAATTTGTTATAATTGTATGAGTGTAAGAATTGTCTGTGACAGCTGTTTGAGTGTAAGAATGAAGGCCAGTTCTAATGACTGTGGTCGTTTATCAGTGTATGAATGCAGGTTGCTATACATGCTGATGTTTGTAGTTTGTGTACAAGTCCAGTCACAGTATACCCTGGTTTTGTCATGACATCATTTAACCGAAGTTGAAAAATAGCCAGAGAAATGGATTATCCTGTATGGAAGAGAATCTCGGAGAATGGACACATACTCCTGTCTAATTATCTATGCCATGATGCAAGGAAACTAGTATGGTAGCCAATTAATCCCATTAACCAGACACTCCAAGAGTTTACCCGGGGAAGTGTGCCTCTAGTGGAATTTTACAGGCATTACATCTGGCTTGGAATTGCCCACTGTAGGGATGGCCCTATGGCTTTTTCTCTATGGTTTTCTTTATCCTTAATCTCCCTGAGTATCAAGGAGGAATCTAGACTTCTGTCCCACCAACTGGGAGTATGGCTGAGAAACAGTATAGACACCCATAGCTCCCGTGTGTGAATGTTCAGAGTATGAGTGGATGTGTAGTGTGAGTGGACATGGAGTATGTGTGGATGTGTAGAGTGAGTGGACATGGTGTATGTGTGGTGTGAGTGGACATTGAGTATGAGTGGATGTGTAGTGTGAGTGGACATGGAGTATGAGTGGATGTGTAGTGTAGGTGGGCATGGAGTATGAGTAGATTTGTAGTGTGAGTGGACATGGAGTATGAGTAGATGTGTAGTGTGAGTGGACATGGAGTATGAGTGGAAGTGTAGTGTGAGTGGACATGGAGTATGAGTGGATGTGTAGTGTGAGTGGACATGGAGTATGAGTGGATGTGTAGTGTGGGTGGGCATGGAGTATGAGTGGATGTGTAGTGTGAGTGGACATGGAGTATGAGTGGATGTGCAGTGTGAGTGGGCATGGAGTATGAGTGGATGTGTAGTGTGAGTGGGCATGGAGTATGAGTAGATTTGTAGTATGAGCGGATGAGCGGGCATGGAATATGAGTAGATTTGTAGTGTGAGTGGGCATGGAGTATGAGTAGATGTGTAGTGTGAGCGGGCATGGAATATGAGTAGATGTGTAGTGTGAGCGGACATGGAGTATGAGTGGATGTGTAGTGTGAGCGGACATGGAGTATGAGTGGATGTGTAGTGTGAGCGGACATGGAGTATGAGTAGATGTGTAGTGTGAGCGGGCATGGAGTATGAGTGGATGTGTAGTGTGAGTGGACATGGAGTATGAGTGGATGTGTAGTGTGAGTGGACATAGAGTATGAGTATATGTGTAGTGTGAGTGGACATGGAGTATGAGTGGATGTGTAGTGTGAGTGGACATAGAGTATGAGTGGATGTGTAGTGTTAGTGGGCATGGAGTATGAGTAGATGTGTAGTGTGAGTGGGCATGGAGTATGAGTGGATGTGTAGTGTGAGTGGACATGGAGTATGAGTGGATGTGTAGTGTGAGTGGACATGGAGTATGAATGGATGTGTAGTGTGGGTGGGCATGGAGTATGAGTGGATGTGTAGTATGAGTGGATGTGTAGTGTGAGTGGACATGGAGTATGAGTGGATGTGTAGTGTGGGTGGACATGGAGTATGAGTGGATGTGTAGTGTGGGTGGGCATGGAGTATGAGTGGATGTGTAGTGTGAGTGGGCATGGAGTATGAGTAGATGTGTAGTGTGAGTGGACATGGAGTATGAGTGGATGTGTAGTGTGAGTGGGCATGGAGTATGAGTGGATGTGTAGTGTGGGTGGACATGGAGTATGAGTGGATGTGTAGTGTGAGTGGACATGGAGTATGAGTGGATGTGCAGTGTGGGTGGACATGGAGTATGAGTGGATGTGTAGTGTGAGTGGACATGGAGTATGAGTGGATGTCTAGTGTGAGTGGACATGGAGTATGAGTGGATGTGTAGTGTGAGTGGGCATGGAGTATGAGTGGATGTGTAGTGTGAGTGGACATGGAGTATGAGTGGATGTGTAGTGTGAGTGGAATATGAGGATCCTGGGTCTGGCAGATAGCTATATATATAAACCTTAGTGTTCAGGTGTAAAATATTTCTTTAAATGTGAAAAGCTGCACCTGTAACAGCATTAGTTCAGGTATTTCTGGTAAATACTGTCAGGGAATGAATTATTCTCTATGTAGCACAGTTCACCCTCCGTCGTCATATTTCATGTTTTATGACCCATTTTAGAAACACCTTAGATTTCAAATTAAAAAAAGAGCAGCCAAACAGGAGAAGAAAGGGAAAACATTTAACAAAACAAATTCTGTTCACCCGTACAAATATTTTGGGCGCAATGATGAAGGCGAAACTTGGAATGTCACCCCGCATGAGAGGATTGTCTTTAAATGGCGAGAGAATCCATTGTTTTTGATAAACAGCTTAGTTTGACAAAAATTGGGAAGACTGCACACACAGGGTCCTTGCACCATAACCACTACAATCAGTAGTAATAAAACAATATGGAGTATTTTATAGTTCTTGGAATGTCCCTTTAAAACGATCTCCTGCTCTGTTATTTGAACTTTAATCACTCACAGAAGGCTCCTGCCGGCTCTTACAGAGCAGGAGATAATACATTCTAAACTAAAGACTGTGAAATAAATATTAGATCTCTCTTTACAGGAAGTGTTTAGGAAGGCTATGTAAGTCACATGATGGGAGGTGTGACTAGGGCTGTATAAACAAAGTGATTTAACTCCTAAATGGCCGAGAATTGAGCAGTGAGACTGCAGGGGCATTATTATTGTTATTGGAATTTTTATAGCACCCACAAATTCTACAGCACTTTATAATATTATTAACGGAACTATTCCAACAAATAAGACAAACTATTACAGATTTTGACATGAATGATCGTTTGAAGAGGACCTTGCTCAAATGAGCTTACAATCTAGAGGGGCGTGATCTGTACCCCAAAAATACTTAATTAAGCGGAAGTTGTTTTGGTGCTTAGTGTGCCTTAAAGGACCACTATAGGCACCCAGGCCACTTCAGTTTAATAAAGTGGTCTGGGTGCCAGGTCCATCTAGGATTAACCCTTTCTGCTGTAAACATAGCAGAGAAACTGCTATGTTTACCTTAGGGTTAATCCAGCCTCTAGTGTCTGTCTCATTGACAGCTGCTAGAGGCACTTCCGTGCTTCTCACTGTGAAGAGGCTTGCGTCCATAGGAAAGCATTGTGAATGGACTGGCTGAATGCGCGCGTGGCTCTTGCCGCGCATGCGCATTCAGCCGATGACGGGGAAAGGAGGCGGAGAGTCCACACCGCCGAGGCAGCCCGGCGCTGGAGAAAGGCAAGTGATTTAACCCCTTCCTCACTCTAGAGCCTGGCGGGAGGGGGATCCTAAGGGTAGAGGAGACCTAGAGACCCTATAGTGCCAGGAATACGAGTATGTTTTCCTGGCATTATAGTGGTCCTTTAACATTAATTTAAACCACTGGACATTTTTATCTACTTGTCACTGACAGTCAAAATCTCTTTCACATGGGAGGAATCAAGTCTGAATAATTTTGTGCTAAATAAGTAATATAAAGTGATATTTTGTTCTGTTGATGTATTACTTTCATAAACTGTTTTTACCGGTGGCTGGCTGTGGTTGATTGTGGGACTGAGACTATATATTACATACCATATAAAAAGCTATGGCTGTCACACATTACATAGTATTGTGTGTTTACAAGACTGCCTGGAATAAGGTGGGCACATCCTGGGGCCATACTATAAGCACTGATCTGCAAAATTCTTACACAGACTGGACACCCAGAGCACGTCATCTCACCGAGCAGGTCTGGGTGCAGTGGTCTTGTCATTTTAACCCCCTCATGTAAAACAATGCAGTGTTTTAGAGACTGCAATATTTACATGTACAATATTTAAATCCACTGGTAGTGGCTGCCATACTGACAGAGTAAAACTCCGTCACGTGACGTGGAGGCCTGTAGAAATGACTGAAAACAATGCTTTCTTATGGGGACTATGGGGAAGCTTGGATGCGCACACGCCACTCACTGCGCATGTGCGTCAGGTCCCCAATGCTCCTCTAGGATTTGCCCATTATGGAGGAAGCCATGCCTCCTGGATGGCCTCACGGATTGTGAAGTGGTGAGTAGTAGCAAGGGAGCCTCGGCACTGGAAAATTTTTAGTAAATCTTTAATTTTATGAATTATACATGCAAATTGGAGGTAAGACCTGTATATGCCTAGAGACAGGGCCATGATAGGGTTATAAATACAGGTGTATAGTCCTAACGCTATAATGTTCCTTTAATAACGAGGCAAGTCATGTAGCCCATTGTAGGCTGTTAAAGTGGTAGCCCACACGGCCTTTACTGTTTACAGACTGGATAAAGGTTTGAAGATCAGAGCAGTGGAATAACTCCTCTTTTCCCCCCTCTGCCCCTCTGATACCCCCCAACCCCTCCTTTCTCCATTCCCTTCTTTGATTACAGATTGGTGTCCTCCATACAAGCTGTCTTGGCCTCCACAGCAGGATACATTGTAGCCACTTCTTGCAAGGATGTCATTGAGGATCGGTAAGTGTGACTTGGTGGCACATCCGGACTTTGAGTTTCAAGTTCAGGAGGCAGACAGCGGGTAAGACAGCTTGTCGCCTGCCTGAGTGTGAGTGAAACATAAGGAGCCATTAAACATTTATATCATCTGATGTTCCTGGGAGGGAAGGTGTTGTAGCAAGGTGTGTGGAGTTTACTGGAGTAGCAGGGAGCAGCGAGAGTCACAACTGAAAGGCATGTGGGTGAGTTTGTGTGCTGACTTGGCTGGCAAGTGGATGACTCGTGTGTGTTCTCAATACAGGGGTATCAATATTATGGGGTATTTAAATTCTGATTAATAACGCTTATGCGGTATTAGAATTCGAGGTGCTTGATGCTGTGGGGTATTAGAATTCTAGGTTCTTGATGCTGTGGGGTATTTAAAAGTACTGGAGCATTCAAGTATTAGAATTCTGGATTTTACCAGGATTTGTAATATTTGAGTTACTGCCAGTACTACATTTAACAATATTTGTTGTGAAATCTGAAAAATAAATTAAATGTAGGAATCCACACCACTGTATTTACCACCATCCTGGGACTGGGCTCCTCCATTTTAGTTTCTTGTTATAAATTATTTTTTTAATTGCACCTGTCAGTCAGCATACATGTACCCTGACTGTGTCAGAACTAGAGCTGATCATTTTTGTTCAGGTTCATCTCATTGGAAGGTCCTCTCGCATGGACCTGTCTTTCTTCAGTCTAATTCTATCCAATCCTTGCTCATAGATCACAAGATCAATCAACTAATCTGTGTAGCATAGTCAAATAATAGGTCCCAACCTTCTAAGCTAAAGAATGTCCTACTAATGACAGTTCATTAAGGGAAGTGTCCAAAGGTAACCACACACCATGATATCCTAACAGATCCTTCCTCTGGAACAGGAGCCAACTAGCTCATTCTTTACCTGTATCTGCCCAAACTCAGGTAGGGTAGAGATCTGCTTGCAAACATGGCATTGTAGCTATGGCATCTTCTTGGAGTCTACCTTTTGCTGATCCAATTTAAACATTCTTCTAAAGATCTAAAACCATGGGGATGAAATGCCTCCTGCTTCCAAATGACCTATTTTTATTATAATAAATGCCTTACATGTTCCATGTAAGCAAGCTGGGGGTGTAAGAGACATTGTTGGCCAAGCAATGAATCACATTAAGTGTCTCGTCAATTCATTTTGTTTCACATTAAGAAGCCATTTATCTGGTGCTGCCAACGTTGATTCCTTCACTCATTACGGATGTCTTCATTACTGTAACTTTATCCCATTCCACATGTAGCCATAATGATTACCCATGGTTAATTAGCTAATTCTCAATCCCCTCCAGCTACCCACAATGCAAATACCTCATCAACCCAATCTAAAAGTCTACAAAATATTCTGCACTCCCTTACCGGACCCCCAGCTCCAATCAGGTCACTCAAACACATTAATTATGGCTTCAGCAATATTTGTAAACTGCAGGTGCTGTAATTAGGCCCTTAATACCTGAGCAATACTGTGCTGACTTGGCACTGATTCTATACCTACTTCTGTGCCAAGTTTAGCCACCATCAGATGACTTGTACTGAGAACATCTTGTGCCCGAGTTCTTTATGTCATTCTCTAAATTGATTTATAGTGCCAGTGCTGGGATGCCCAAAATGTTCTCATCAACCTGATGCTGAGCATAAACGTCTCAGAAAATCCAAAGTGTTTCTACCTGCTTCTCTCTAAAACCCAGCGCTTGTTCCCAGCAGAATTACAAACTTCCTGCTGCCGTGACAGCATTTCTCTGGGGCCTTCCCTAATTCTATTAACCTGCCACGTAATTCCCAGAGTGGGACACAAACAGTTCCCCATGATCCTCTATTCTGTGTGTATCGTGAATCTGGAGCTGCCAAGACATTGGTGACTACAATTCCCAGCATATCTGTGACAATGCCATAATACCACCACGGTGGTACCGCTAACATCGGCACGCTGAATGTATCAGAGGCATTGCCATGGCCTCTGATACATATGAATATATGAAAAGGGCATGTTTTTGTCACGGTTAATATATATTTTGCAAACGTTGCAGCTAACAAACACTAATCAGAACAGATTTATTATTTTAATCTGAGATTAGAAATACCATATTAGGTCCATGATTTTTATTTTTTATTTCCCTCTCAGATATAATTTCACCTGTGGCATTTCTCAGATTCTTTGTCAGAGACATTTTCCCACCATTCTGTGTCACTTTTTCAGGCAGCAGATTTCACGTTTTGTTTACTCCATGGTAGGAAGATCAGCTCAATCCCCCGTGTACAGCGATTCCTGATATACAGAGTAACGATTCTGAAATTCCCTTTCATTTACAGACTCAGATACAGATTTATATACAACCACCACAACCATCACAAATAGTGTGGCGCTACTTTAAAAAAAAAAAACATACACATGCAAGTGCAGTTTATAAAATACTTCTAAATCCAGTAGGAAAAATGTGTTTCCCAAAACGATTTAAGCGGTATGCAAATAGCATTATACATTCACAATTTTATTGTACAAAAAGTATTAAAAACCTTACGTCAACAGTTGTACGTATTAAAGGATCACTATAGGGTCAGGAACACAAACATGTATTCCTGACCCTATAGTGTTAAAACCACCATCTAGCCCCCCTGGGCCCCTCATGCCTCCATAAATATAGCAAAATCTTACTGTATTCAAGCCAGAAGCTGTAGCTCTGCATGCTGTTTGCCTCATAAAAACAAGCAGTCTGCTGACATCGTCAGAAGTGGTAGCCTGATCCAATCACAATGCTTCCTCATAGGATTGGCTGAGACTGACAAGGAGGCAGATTGGGGCAGAACCAGCATGATTCAAACACAGCCCTGGCCAATCAGCATCTGCTCATAGAGATGAATTGAATCAATGAATCTCTATGAGGAAAGTTCAGTGTCTGCATGCAGAGGGAGGAGATACTGAATGATTGGATGCATTTTAGGCAGCCATGACCCAGGAAGGATCTCTTAACAGCCATCTAAGGAGTGGCCAGTGAAGTTATCACTAGGCTGCAATGTAAACACTGCATTTTCTCTGAAAAGACTGTGTTTACAGCAAAAAGCTTGAAGGTAATGCTTCTACTCACCAGAACAAATTCAATAAGCTGTAGTTGTTCTGGTGACTATAGTGTCCCTTTAAGCCTATAAATCTCACTTAAAAGGCTGCATACAACAGTAGATGTTGGCCATGTGCAGGACTTAGCTCATTGACTGAGAGCATCACCTGATTCCTTACAATGGGGAGCTCTAGGGCAATCCTCGCACCATAACCACAACAATCCCTGCGCAGCCAGCACTGGCTTTTACCAATTTTATGCTTCTCATAGAGCAGGATTAGACATGTAAGGTGTCATGAAAATTGAAAATTGAAGATCTGAAAGAGAAGGTGCCCCTAGTGGCTAATTTAAGGTTTAGGGAAAATGTACACATTGCCATTGCATTGAAACAGCAATGTTTTACATTATCAAATAAAGGGACTGAATATACGCACCAAAACAACTTCAGAAACATGAAGCGGTCTTGGTGCACAGAGTGTCCCTCTAACATATTATGCCAATATAATCCGTAGCACTTCACAGTTATATTGTGAGTTCAACAAGTCATTAACAAACAAAATATTGTCAAGAGAATCAGGAGGTGAAGATGGTCTTGCTCACAAGAGCTTACACTCTAGATCTGGGTTGCATAGGTTGTATGCAAAGCATATTTGGCCCCTTTCCCAGTGAAAGGGTTAATCATAAATCATTCTGTGCAAGGTTATCGTTCCTCCATCTTGTAATCTGTGTTATTTGTAAGAATTAATACATTTAAAAGATTACTAGGCCCAGTGAGCACACCCCCAGCAGATGGAGCTTAAATCGGAATGCAGAGGAGAGATTAACCCCTGCGGACATCTGTCTAATTGGCAGGTTTTGCAGCTATCCATTCATTTCCAGGTACAAATCCACCCAGTAAAATAGACAACGATATAGGGTGCACCAAAGGACAATATGACGGGGAAATAAAGCATTAAAAGGGTATAAGAAATACAGGTATGCTAAGACAGTGGCAGCCGTAAAATAATAAAGTCTTAATAATAGAGATAAGAAAAAGTCTCTAGAAGCCTGGGTAGGTTTTTTTCCTTCTTCGGACTTCATATTTATCGGGATGCTCAGGGTCCACAGGTTTATATAAAAGGGAGAAAAATAAAACTCCAATAGTGTAATAAATCCAAAGTAAAGTGCACAATTATAGAAGACTTCCAGATTTTCTACTCACATATCATAGAGCTTTAATCAGCTCTCGTGTGATGCGCATGCAGTGGTTTTAATCCCCACTTATAGGATATCAATGGAAGGTACAGTCAGCAGATGTCAAATCCACCGAGTGCTACGCATGTCCAGCTTCAAGCAGGGGAGGGGTTAATGAAGTCAGCGTTAATAGATCGGACATTTACCGCGGCAAGGTCCATAACATGGCGTATGCTATAGGAAACATTAGAAAGTTGGTACACTATGAATTCTATTAGACCGTCTTTTAAGACATGTCAAGGGTTAATGGGCCCGTGATGATCTATTGGCATGGGAAAGGTTAACAGGAGGAAAATGCAATTTATGGCATGTGAAGAGTTAATGAACATATAATAGGTTTAATGTGTATAGTGATAATAAATGTGTGTAGAGGGTTAATAGATGGATATTGTGATTCTGGAATGGGAAGGGTTAATAGATTGCTGCAGGTTTATCTGTCTGGAGTGAGACTGTTAAATGCACTCCACAGAAAGATACATTCCGATATTGATAAGTGAAATGTTTTTGGCAACAGAGAGGTTAATGGTAAGATGTGCTTCAGCGCAAGAAAATTAACCCCTCTCTCTCTCTTTCATCCCACTACCTCTCCTCCTCAACACTGATCCTTCCCATCTCGCTGACTCTCTCTAATCACTCCCTCTCTTTTTATAACCTTGTTCTCTGTCTCCCCAATTTGCTGTCTTTACCCCATTACTGTCTTTCCCCATTACTGTTTCCCCAATTCTGTCTTTCCCCATTACTGTCTCCCCAATTCTTTGTCTTTCCCCCATTACTGTCTCCCCAAATTCTCTGTCTTTCCCCATTACTGTCTCCCCAATTCTGTCTTTCCCCCATTACTGTCTCCCCAATTCTTTGTCTTTCCCCCATTACTGTCTCCCCAATTCTGTCTTTCCCCCATTACTGTCTCCCCAAATTCTCTGTCTTTCCCCATTACTGTCTCCCCAAATTCTCTGTCTTTCCCCATTACTGTCTCCCCAAATTCTCTGTCTTTCTCCATTACCGTCTCTCCCCATTACTCCCTTGATCCCCCATTCCCACTCCCCCCCATGTCTCTTTCTGGGTTTCTGTCCTTAGGCACTGGCTCGCTGCCACTTACACACGCTTTGCTGTTCCATACTTTATCTATGATGTGTACGCCATGTACCTGTGCTATTGGCATAAACACAAGGTGAAAGACCACGCCAGCGGCTGGCAGCTCACCAGGGCCTATCTGCGCAAGGAGTTTCTAATGGTCCTTCATCACGTCTTCATGGTGGCCGTCTGCTTCCCTGTGTCTGTGGTAAGCCAGACCCACTAGATAGCCACATACACCGACTTACAGTATGTTTAATGAGGACAGTCCATGGAAAGTGGCCAAATGACAGTGACATGTTTAATGCATTAAAATGACCCAGGACTCACAGTAAAAACAGTTTCCTGGCCAGAATCCAGGATCAGTGTGATGTAAATATTCGGTGAGATTTCCATCTCTGCCTCCTCCCTAGGCCAGTCTCAGTCCTGTATTTTAATGCGTTGGTTCATGGTGGATGCAGTGGGATTCTAAGTTCTTCTGCAAGATGCAGAGAGATTGAATGAAGCGCCAGGAATGAAATTTGTTTCTGTGTTGGGTGAAGGCCAGTACCGGATTGGAAGCCAACACACGTGCACTTTGTTTTACTCGATTTATTAATCTTGTATTGCTCTGCAATCAATGGCGGATCCAGGGGGGCAACGGGCAATTGCCCCCCTGAGATTCTCCCTAGTGTCCAAGTACACACACTACACACACTGACCCAAACGCTGCCCCACAAACACTAGCCCCATACACACACTACACACACCCCCACAACACTGCCTATACCCACAAACACTGCCCCCATACACACACTACACACACTGACCCACAAACACTGCCCCCATACACACACTACACACCCTGACCAACAAACACTGCCCCCCATACACACACTACACACACTGCCCCCCATACACACACTACACACACTGACCCACAGACACTGCCCCCCATACGCACACTACACACATTGCCCTACAAACACTGCCCCCATACATACACTACACACACTGCCTACACACACTGCCCCACAAACACTACCCCCATACACACACTACACACACACTTCCCTACAAACACTGCCCCCCATAAACACACTACACACACTGCCCTACAAACACTGCCCCCATACACACACTGACCCACAAACACTGCCCTACAAACACTGCCCCCGTACACACACTACACACACGCCCTACAAACACTGCCCCCATACACACACTACACACACTGACCCACAAACACTGCCATACACACACTGTCCCAAACACACACACTGCCACCCTCACATACACACTGCACCGCTCACACACACACAAACACTGCAGCTCTCTCACACACACACTGCCCCACAAATACACTGCAACTCTGACATACACTGCCGCCCTCACGCACTCGCACACACACTTCACCGCTCACACACACACACTGCACCTTTCACACACTTCACCCCTAACACATACCACTGCTCCTATGCCCTATATCCCAGCAGACCCCAGGTAACACACGGCTCCTATGCTCCACACTGCTCCTATGCCCTATATCCCAGCAGACCCCAGGTAAGTTGTCAAACTGTTCTTAAACGGTTTGACTACTTACTCTGGGATGGGATCTTGGCACTACTGGCACCATAACTACTACACTGAGCTGTAGTGGTTATTGTGCCTGGATTATTTCCTTAAATAATCTACAAGATTACTCCCGAGATCAGGCTCTGGATCCGCCACTGTCTGCAATGCCACAATAATTTCATCCCTTGTAAGCACGGGGCTGGTAGAGAACAGGTTAATGGAGCAATAAATAGGTGGTTCGATCTAATGACAGTTAGAAACATAGAATGTGACGGCAGATAAAAAACATTCAGCCCATCTAGTCTGCTCAGTAGACAGTTACCCGGATACCTGTATAGAAGACCCATCACACGAGATATTCCCAGACTAGCTAGGTAAAAGCTGGCTATTATTTGTGCTATTCATTTCTTTAACAATCTCACTGTTTTTGTTACATATCGTACTGGGCACGCCGCGTAGGGCGTGTATTTCAGTTTAGCCCCTGCAGTGCTACACGCGATACCTAAGGTGCACCCAAGCTCACATCTTATCATACAGCATTCATTTTACATTCCCAAGTTGGTGTGTGCATGCTTGGGGCATCATGGTGAATTTCACCCACCCAAGCTGTAATGTTACCTCCTCCACAGGGATGGGTGCTTTGGACCAGTTACTGCCTGTCTCCATATGTTTCTCTTACCATCAGATAGTAGTCCAGCTCTTTGTAACTTTTAGCAGTCAGTTACCTGGTTGCTGTGTTCTGAGACTCGTCCATGTTCTTAGACTCGTCCGTGCTCTGAGTCCTGTCCATGCTCTGAGGCTCGTCAGTATTCTGAGGCCTGTCCGTGTTCTGAGTTTCGTTTGTGTTCTGAGGCCTGTCTGTGTTCTGAGGCCTGTCTGTGTTCTGAGGCCTGTCCGTGTTCTGAGGTTCGTTTGTGTTCTGAGGCCTGTCCGTGTTCTGAGGCCTGTCCGTGTTCTGAGGCTCGTCTGTGTTCTCAAGGCTTGACCATGTTCTGAGGTTCGTTTGTGTTCTGAGGCCTGTCCGTGTTCTGAGGTTCGTTTGTGTTCTGAGGCCTGTCCGTGTTCTGAGGCTCGTCTGTGTTCTGAGGCCTGTCCGTGTTCTGAGGCTCGTCTGTGTTCTCAAGGCTTGACCATGTTCTGAGGCTCGTTTTTGTTCTGAGGCCTGTCTGTGTTCTGAGGTTTGTTTTTGCTCTGAGGCCTGTCCGTGTTCTGAGGCTCGTCTGTGTTCTGAGGCTTATCTGTGTTCTCAAGGCTTGACCATGTTCTGAGGTTCGTTTTTGTTCTGAGGCCTGTCTGTGTTCTGAGGCATGTTCGTGTTCTGAGGCCTGTCTGTGTTCTGAGACCTGTCCGTGTTCTGAGGCCTGTTTGTGTTCTGAGGATCGTCTGTGGTTAACATCTGGTGATAAACCCTGTGATATTATGCTGATATCCCTCTCTCAACATGGTGATCTTTCATAGTATTTTACCTACATCCTAGACAATTTCTCTTTAGATATTTTTTTTCGTAAAAAAGGACATTTGTCTTCACTAACATAAGTATTCTTCATCCCCTGCAGTATTTGTCTGTGATCTTTCAGGTCCTTTTTATTGTCACTGTAGGGGCTGTGTATAGAAAGGTCTGTAATTCCAGTTTATAGATTTCATAGTCCGCATGCTATCCTCAGGAATGTGGAGTAAAACATTAGAACGTGTGCTTCTGTCCAGGCACTCCTATCAAACAACTAACAAAGTTGATCAGAGCCGCCATCTTGATTTTTTCATTTTAATCGGATTCCAGCTGAGTTAACTGGGCTGTTATCACAGCTGGGAATAAGCTAGCTATTCTTTATCGACATAATACTGTTTTCTGAGGAGGTTGTTTTAGTATAGATTCCAGGCGCTTTAATTGACATTACGAACAATCATTTCTACAAAGACTGAGAGTTACAGCATTATAGGGGGACATTAAGGACTCGTTTTGATTTAAGTATAAATGAACAATTATTCATGTTGTGCATTATATATTAAGCTGTGTATTTGTAACAAATATCATTTTATATTAGTAAATCAAAACTCTGACAACTGCCTCCATGAAAGGCACAGACAGGGCTTTTTATGCAAATTAACATAGTGTTCCCATCATCCTCTTGCACAAATATTGGGATAATAAGTTTGGGGAAGACGAATTAACTTGTATGACATTTCCCCAGCAGTAAGTTCTCGGTAGGCAGATGTGATGTCAGAGTTTGGTTTTATTATTCGAATGAATGAAGGTGAGTGAATGTGTTTTCACTTTTCATTTCTCTTGCAGCTCTGGAGAGAAGGGAAGGGAGATTTCTTTTTGGGCTGCATGCTGATGGCCGAGGTCAGCACACCTTTCGTCTGTCTGGGCAAGGTCCTCATCCAGGTGAGATTAACTTCTCTTCAATGTCTTAGTCTGAAAACATCACAAATAGCAGGAAAATGTGGCCCAGTTCCTGTTTTGCCATTAATCTGTCTGACCATACGGGGGTTCACATATTTAGACTATTTATCAGTAACGCCTCTCTGGGTAAAAAACCTGTGTCCCCTTGGAAGAGGGGGCTTTATTGTGTTTGTGTTTTTAAAAAACAGGGTTAACTGAACTGGGGAAAATAATTACAGAATTGAGGTCACCATAGCTATAGCAGCGAGATTTTACCAAATTCAGTGTTGTTTATTAAAACATGATTATATATCTGAAAAATTCTTCAACTTCACTAACATTTTGGCTGGAAATTTCAGTTCAGTAATGGTGTTTTCTGAGTTCATTGAATGCACTTTAACCAGATAGAGAACGTGTGAAATCTCCCTTTATAAACATGCGGCCCCTGCACCTTACGCCCCTCTCCTGGTATTGGATTTAGCCCAGGGATCAGGGGGTACCTCCTGGGGGAGTTAATAGGTTGGGGGTACAGAAACTTTTCCTTATGTCTCTCTCATTGATTTCTCTGTCTCACCCAATCCAACACTCTATCCCTCCACAAATCTGCCTTGTTCTCCTTGAACTCATTCCTCATCACCAACCAAATCTATCCCTTACTCCATGTCACCCTCCTAATGTACCCCTCACTCTTACTAACCCTTCCAATCTACAACTGGTTCCTGTGTCAATCATATCTACACCTCACACTCCAACTGACTGTCCTGCTCCCAATCGCTTCCTTTATTCTGTGAACCTAAAACTGTGTAAACATGGACCTCACACACTGTCTCGAACTGCACCCCCGATATTCCTCATTTCACCCTATTCTAATATTGCTTGTCGCTGCCCCTGTCCTGTTTTATCATTCATTTCTCCCCATTCCTCTCTCTGTCCCCCATATTTTATGTCCCCTGAACCTGTACACCTCTCTCCCAAACACATGGATTTCCTGCGTTTTAATGATACTCCAACCCTTATCCTCTTGCTGTTCCTCTGCATGTCATTCTTCCCTGCTCCCCCTCTGTGTCCTGTCTTTTTTGCTAAACCTTACCTCCACCCTCTTCTACAGTACAAGAAGCAGCACACCCTACTGCACCGTGTTAATGGCGTGCTGATGCTGGTGACATTTTTCTGCTGCCGACTCCTGCTCTTCCCCTACATGTACTGGGTGTACGGGCAGCGAGTGGGCCTCCCTCTGTACAAAGTTCCCTTCAGCCTCTCCCCAGAGTATAACATTGGAGCTGCTATCCTCATGGCGCCTCAGGTCTACTGGTTTTACCTAATCTGCCAAAGAGCTTACACTCTATTCCGGCAGTCTATACTTTGCCAGCGGCCCAAGAACGGACATCCAGCTTCGGAAATCTCAGCCAAAGATCAGGACTGCTCGCAGTGACATTGGCCCTTTTCACTTTCATTCTACTTACCCTCACCCTGCAGGATCCAGTGACCCCTCCACCCGAAAGAGACCCCACAGGGCCAGGGGAGCATTAAAAGACTGTGTCTTTCACTGGAGGCAATAAGGCACCTTGTGATGCTCTGCTTAAATGGAAAGTATTGTAATTATGTTGGAGAGAGAGGGGTAGGGATGCAGTATCCAACGCCTGTAGCTTTGGAGGGGTATAATGAAATGAATGCCTTGCCCAAAGAATGCCAGTATTAACTCACCCTGCAGAACACCACATAACCACAGGGTGTCATCAGTGTATACCCCATGCAGTAAATATAGTGACCACATGGTGTCATCATTCTCACACATCCCTGAAGAGTATAACCCAGCAGTACATAATGCTAGATTAGAATATGACATAATCCGAGGCGTTACTATGTCCTCAGATCCCCCAGGTAGTCTCTGTTTACTATTTGGCACACAGCGTTAGATTCTGCACACACACACACACACACACACACACACACAGTGACTGCAGAGTGATAGTGTAGGTTACAAAAGCATACAGCTTGCAATGCCCACAAGTAACCTCTAGGAGTCACTGTTCCTCTATTGATATTTAACACATGGTCATTACTGACTGAGGACAACCACACATCCCAGACAGGTCAGCAGCCACAGTGCTTACCTGCAGCAAAGGATTCTGGGAAGGAGAGGCTCGTAATGAACCCCCTTTTTACCCACATACTTTACCCTGTGTGCCCTGTTGAAAACAGCTGATCAGACAGCCTGGGTGAGAGGGCGCAGCTCAGAGAGTCCTCTTATTAACTAGACACAAGAATGTCACCCACATGGTATTATTTACAGTATCAGTACAACAGCGCCATCCAGTGAGAGAGCGAACACCATCGGCATACTCCCATCCATTCACACACACGCACTCATTCAGATACACTCACATACATTCACACACACATACACATACTCAAATACAGTCACACACACTCACACATACTCCAATCCATTCACACGCACACACGCACACACATTCACATACTCACATGCATACATACACTCACATACATTCACACACATACACATACTCCCATCCATTCACACACACACACACACTCATTCACATACTCACACGCATACATACGTACACTCACATACATTCACACACATACTCCCATCCATTCACACACACACATACTCATTCACATACTCACACGCATACATACGTACACTCACATACATTCACACACACTCACACATGCTCACATACACATACTCCCATCCATTCAAACACACATTCACACATATTCCCCCCTCTCACATACATTAACAAACACACACACATACCACACTCACATACTCAATTATATTCACACACACACATACCCCCATACACACAACCTTCTTCCAGTTTATGTGGCTCATACCCAACAAATGCACAATAAATTATATTTGGGGTACTCTGTAAAATCACAATCCTACCCAGTCTCTGCTCTCTACCTCCCCCTTTGCTGTGTGGGTGAGGGGTAAATGTCCTCTTTGCGTGGGAGGGTTTTGGGCAGCCGCATGTTAGGGGTACGTTTAATTGCCCAATCATCTAATCTAAGGGAATGGCTGAATAAAAAATATAATAATTGCTGAGAGCTGTACAGTAAAGGGTTAAGCATGGCCAGATCCTAGCCAATCAGTCAGCAAGGCTGTGTTTGCCGTTATCAGACCCCATAGTGCTTTGTAAAAAACAAGCGCTAGCTACGCGCATTTTTACCCCTTCTGTTAAGTCCTTTTCTTTGTTTTTACCCTCTTTATTTGTCCGTTACATAATGGGAGAGTACGCAATCATGACAGATATACCTCTATTGTGTGATTAACCCATAGAGCGCCAGAGGGCTTTGCTATGCACAAGTTCATTCCTCTGGATGGTATACTGCTTGGGTTAATCAGCAGGCAGCAGTCCAGCTGTCGTTAAACTGCAACTCCCATGGCTGAGTGTCCTGAGGGTTGCAGTATGTGTTGTCTAGCTCTGCTTTACAGAGTGCAACCAGACACAGAAACACAGAATACAGTGATGGCTAAGCTTGGCAGTTTCACGTTTGTGGACTTTAATTCCCATGATGCTTCTGGCTTTGCACAATGGGAAGCGTAGTCTGCAAACATCTTGGCTGTCAAGCTCAGCCACTAATGACATAAAATGCTTGAAAGAGGTCTGGGAAAGGTCGTAAAACTTCCACAGAGCCCTTCCATGACATGAAGAGATTTCAGCATCAATAGCGCCCCTGCTTTACAAATAATAAATGTGGTTTTTATTTTTTTAATAAGTTGCTGCTATTCCAGGGTTTGTCAAAGGTTAATTATTAAGCTTAATATTTATTTTCTATCCCTTGCACATTTTTCCCTTTGAGACCAGTCAGTCCCCTCCCCCAGCGCCATCCGTTTTTATTAATTTATTTTTATTTATGCTTTACACACTTTGTTTTTTAAATGAATGTAAATATGTTTCAGCGAAGCGATATGTTAGCAAATGTCCTGCGATTTATAATACTTGTAAAAAGGTATTAAAAGATTAAATGCAATTTAAACAATGTTTCTTTGTCTGGAGAATTCTATTTGTTTGGCAAAGTGTGACGTTTATTGCTTATACAGCACCTGCATGGGCCGTGACGTTGTACACACAGGAATTACAAGGACACTTTGTATATAGATTCCCTGACCACTTGTGTATCCAGGTTCCTATCTTTAAACATACAAAACTAAGCTCTGCGCTCAAACTCCCACTACTCTTGGGCAGCAGCAACGACCATAGTACACATCAGCCCCAAAACATACAAAAAAAAACAAAGGAAAAAAGTTATCTGCACACTAGCCCAAATCCCTATGTATATTAACAAATGGAGGTTTTTAGTTACCTCCAATGGCCATGAGAGGGTATGCCCACCTGCCACGTCAAGGCAGACCTCTTAGGCGGGTCCTACACTGACCATTCGCCTTGCTTCTTTGAGCTTCTGGCAGAGATATCTCTAATGAGACAGAGAGGGGTATTTTTTTTTATAAACACACCTACATACTTATTAACCCTTAATAGGGAACACATGGGATGGGTGGCAGCATTGTAACATAGCTGTGTGATACAAAAGTGAATACAAATACAAAAAAAACAAGTCCTGTGCTCAAACTCCCACTACTCCTGGCGGCAGCAATGAGTATAGTGGTACATATCGGCCCCGATACACAAAGTGTGACATTTATTGCTTATACAGCACCTGCATGGGCTGTGACGTTGTACAAACACAGGAATTACAAGGTCTGGATACTTTGTATATAGATTCCGCGACCACATGTGTATCCAAGTTCCCGTCTTTGCTCAGCCTTGTTGGATGTTCACCAGGGGTGCTCTCTCTGTGGCCTGCTGACCTACTCAAAGCGGGAGAGGCGGCCAATCCCCTGCTTTGAACAACTTGTAGGAGCTATCGCATGTGCCTTGAGGTACTCTCCTGGGACATAGACTTGGGGGGCCAGGAGAAGTCTGATCTGTGGGCACAGCATGTGCACTCCACTGGTGGCCTGCAGCCGGCGGAGAGTTCTACCAGGACTTTGTGTCCAGCAATCTCCTTGGTCTCAAAAGGGGATGAGGAACCTTAACCATGGCTGATACCACTTATAAAAGTCTTACAAAGTAATTTTTCTAATAATTCTCTGAGCCAACTACGTCCCTTCAGCCACTTTATTAATCTTTTAGTTAGTTAAAGGTTAATCTGATGTCATTTTAAAAACGGTTATGGCACTTCAATTGCCTCTTTAAGAGAACATTTTATGATTGTTACCATATCTGTTCCTTGAAACGGTGTGCGATCATGCAAGTGAGGACTCTTCTGTTTTCTGATACACAACCATTCATCCTTAGCTTCCTGGTGCATCGTTATGAAATCGTATATGATATGGAATCCTTCCTTTTAGAATGGCAGTCTAATGATCTATACACACTTGTGACATCATGGTCCTCTGTAACCAATCACAACCCAGTATAGGGCGTATATACTTCCTGGTTGCTTTGCCCTGTCGTTGTTCGTTACCGGAGAGTGTGTTTATACAGTGTATGGATTTACCGTTTTCTGACCTTGGTGGTTTGACTATTCTTGCTCTCGTTAACCTGTCCTCAGCCAAACCATTGATTCTGTGTGTCAGTTATCTTGACCGCGGCCTGTCTCTCGTTTATACTCTGTCTGTTTGCAGACATTTAAATTTATCTGTCTTTGGCACTAGCAGGACGAATAAGAACCGGTACGTGGGTATTATTTTAGGTATCTTCATTCCTCACAATAATATAATTGAAAATGTTTATTTTTTCACCTGGAGAAAGTGCCTCCCACTCACTGAGTTGCCCAAAGAGTAAAATTCAATATAATACAAGACAGTACTGTAGTTATGGAATTAAAAAAGAAATAAATGTAAACCCCCAAACAATGAGACGTTTCCCATGGCCTCCCCACAAGGTGGCACTGTTGGAATGCCATGGAGTTTACGGGCCAAATACTGAATTGGATACCAAATTGCCGAATCAACAATTAGCTTTCAATTCATTATAAAATGTATTTACGATTATACAATATATTGAGTTTTATGATATATATTAACAAATGCAAAGAAAATGAAATTCAGAATTGTAATGCAATTTCAGATTCATTAAAAATAGTGAAAACAAACTTCAAAACAGTAAGGTTAAAAAATATTATATATATATGAAATCATGATCCTGATGAAAGTCTGCAAGGACTGAAACGTTGATCTTGGATGTTTTAATCATTTGTCATTAAACAGCTGAATAGACTAAAATGCTCTAAACTCTGGTAAACTAAACCCTGTAGGTCAGTTCCAGCAATATTCACTCCCACTACCCAAGAAACTGACTGCACACTTGCAGAATGCGTCGGAGTGCAACAATCTGTGTGCGTCTATGGCTGCATCTCAATAGCATTCCTTAAGTAGAATTATTTATGTTGAAATAAAATTTACTACACTATGGAAGCTTCCCCTGTTTAACTTCTGTTTTAGGGAACGATTAGTGTAATGAGTTAATTTGATATCATGAGCAAAACAGACTTCGGCTAATTTACTGGATTACAGATGGATCAGCCCCCAGACGTCTTTTCATTTTCTAACACCAGATGCAATAGACAAACCACGAACCAGGCCAAATTGGATTTATTGGAATTCACAAAACTATTGTATTTTGAGCCCAACGGCTGGTAGCCCCTGGCACCTCTGGGATGAAATGGGCTCTCTGCCAGCCATGCCGGTTACTGGGTTAAGGCACAGGAAGTTACATTGTAGAATAAAAAAAAAAGTGTAGAGAGTAAGAGTGCAAATATAGTTTCTGTAAAGAACAAAGTGTCAGCTCATATAGAGGGAGTGTGAGAAAAGGTTAACGAGACTGACAGCACACAGCGAGACTGCATTCACAGAGGGTCAGACATACATAGAAAGAGTTAATGTTACTGAACACAGTGAGCAGAGAGTCACAGACAGAAGGTAAGGGTTAATGTAACCATCTAAACTCCACACAGAGCTCCAGCAGTTGTCATTACAAGATGTATCTGAGCAGCACAGTAGTGATGGTGTGTATCGCTTTCTTCACTACTCGGCCTCCTTGTCAGTGACTGGTTTGGGGTTGAGTCCAAGCATTCCGTGTGCGGTAGTGAACAGGTTAATAGGAGTCGATCCGTCTGTGATCAGAGTGGACTGGATTCCCAGACCCTGCAACAGCCGCACCTGGGGGGGAGAGCAACAGAGGGTGAGCAGTGAATCCGGGGGTAATCGGAGGAGTCAACGGGTTAGAACAAAAAAAGAAAGAGAGAGAGAGAGAGAGAGAGGAGGGGATGGGTTGGCTAACCTGCAACTCGGGTCCAGCCAGTGCAATATCCCTGAGAGTTGATGCCCCGATGGCTTGTGTCATCTCGCGGAATTTCTTAATGTCCAGCTCTGCCAACTGCTGAGCTTTCTCCACCTCCAACTTGTTCTTATCCTGAGTGTAACGCAGCTCTTCACCCCGTGCTTGGCGCAGACGTTCTAACTCTGCTTCCTGCCCGTAACACAAGCAGATACACATTACACCCACAAAGCTCCGTCACAGGAAAGTCAGCCTTGAACATTGAACGCAACACTTACCGTCTCTATGGCGAGAGCCTGGGCTCGCAGTCTGGCTTGCTGTACTGCTCCCTCCCCTTCGATCTTCGCAGCCTCAGCCTTGGACTGAGCCTCTGCCTTGGCAGCTCCTGTGCTCTCCACTGCAGTGCTGCGGATCACATGAGGAAAAGCAGATCGGGACAAACATTAATGAACAGGTAATGAGAAGGGTGAAGGAAAATAAAAATAAAAGTTATATTTAAAATAAATATTGGAGGTAATGTTTAGTGTTACCTAAGAGCCTCCAGCTCAAGCAGTTCTTTCCGAGCCCTTTCGGCCTCTGCCTGGTCTGTGATCCGCTGCCTCTCCAGACGTCCCTTAGCCTCTTGCTCCAAGCGCTCAGCCTCGTGTCTGAAATGGTTAAAGAGAAAATGCTGTATGGACTGACCATGGCAGGTTCCCAAAGTTTCCTCCAACTCTAAATATAATGATAGTGGTGTCATTTGTACTCTTTTGTAGCAACTGACCACACTTGGTTCCCCTGGCCTTACCGCTGACTGACTCCATCTTGTCATTCCCCGAGCTGTTAACATACTGACTAGCTCTCTATTTCTAGTGATTATGGTAACTCGGGGTGTCTCACACTCGTTCCACAACTAATCTGTGCAAGCTAGGTCTCCTCACCTGGCCGTGGCTTCCTGGGAGTTTGTGGTTATTTCAATGGCCAACTGGACACTCTTCTGCAGGGCATCACGCGTACGCTGATCCACGGGCTCCACAGACTGAATGTCTACGCTGGTAATCACCAGATTATTCTGTGGGAACTTAAAGGAGCTTCGAATCTTCAGAGCATCATCAAACCCAAAGACGGCTGAGCAGATGATCCGATTAGAGTTCTGTTAGAAGACATCATGATAATATGTGAAGATGCTAGAACGCATTAGGAGGAGCCAAAAACCAGAGTGAAAATGGTGCACAAATTAGTTCTCCGCCACTTACTTTATGGAAGTCGTCAAACTGTACTGATGCAACAGCTCCTCTAATCTTCGACGCAATAGCCTTACACGCGTCTCCCACAAAATCTGGGACGCTGAAAATCTTTGAGGCGTCCACTGCGTTGTGCTTATCAGATACTTCAAAATGCCTGAGGAAAGGAAAACTAAAATCAGATAAGGTTGTAGATACTGAGCAAGGAATCTTTGGTTTAGGAGCTAGCAATCATGAATGCTGTATCAGTTAACATAAGGCTGAACAGAACGGTTTCCACAATTACTTATTGTTTCCTACTGCAGCTTTATGTATCTGGCTTTCTTACATGTATAGCAATTACAAGAAACAAAGTCTTTAACAGCTGGGGGAGCCCCAGGACCACCCATTATTCCCCAGAGTTTCTCACCAGTTGTACGACAGTTGGATCTGCAGTCGTGCATGGTCTGCAGTCTCGATGTTGATGAGGTCAGTGCAGAAATCAGGGCCAAGAAGCAAGCAGATTGCTTTGATGACATTTGACCTCTTAGGCGTTCCTCCAGAGAGGCTGAGGACTGTGAACTGCTCGTCGGGGCCAAGAATCACCAACTCAGGCCCAAAGACGACCCTTAAGGAAGGAGAGAAATCTGTCTGTCTGCTGGTGAATCAAGGTGTTAATCATGCAATAAGATGCCAGCACTTACCTAGCCTTTTTCTCCCGATAATCATAAACCTGTACAGCTGCATTGTGGGGGACGCGGTAAGTGACAGCACGCGTCTTATTTCTTGGCTCGGTTTCCTGTACCTGCATCTGCCGTGCCGATCTGTCAGCAACAGGGTCCTTCCCGGAAGCCAGGAGGGTCTCCACGTTGGCTGGCAGCTCCTTCTCCCACAACTCCTCATCATGTGTCAACATGTAGGTGTGTCCCACCACGGAACGCACCTGGGAGAACATACATCAGGTTACGGTGGTGTCACAATTCAATGTCTACACATGGAACATCTCATTTATCTAGTCACATAACGTTTCACACAGTTACAAGTCCCCGGCCCAGGATTACCTTTCCGGTCTTAATGTCTCGCACATAGATGCCTTCATTCTCATCCAAGGGAATGGATTCTCGTCTCACCATTACCTCCACCTCCACGGGAGGAACATACTCTAATGGGCCACGTATCATCCAGCGATCTCCTGGTTTATGCTCCACTTCATTCCCGTCCTGATTGTAGACACAGATTAAGAGTGAGAGTAAAAGACAGACAGAGGGACATAAAAAGTGACATAAAAAAAAAAGAGACAAAGAAACACAGTAAGCACCTAAGAAGCAGTTTTTCCCATTGCTCACCTCATCCTTCTCCTCCAGGGGCTGCAGAGCCCGCAGTACCAGTCCTTCCTCCTCAGACAGTACGTAGACATCCTCGATCCCGGCTTCCAGGCTCTCCCCGGGCTGCAAGAAGAAGGACTTCTCTCCCTACAGGAAGTCAATGAAAGCATATCAGACTGGTGGTCATGACCACATGTACCTCCATTACACTCTACAGTAAACATACTGACTATGGTCACTACCCTCCTATAGACCCTTCAATATCACTGCGTCTTTCCTCGCCCCTCTCCTCCCCAAAAAACATAGGAGCTTCCCTCAGGTGAAGGGAGGTTTTTCCCTCATCATCAATGGAGGCAGTCTAGATGTTCTGATCAGAATCCACATAAACCCGGCAGTTTTACACCAATTACCTTCACAACTTTCTTCTGGCCTAGCTGTAGCTTCCCATCATCTCCCACGGGGTCCAGGATAACACAGTACTGGCGGCTGGTCAGTGTGGTGATATCAACGACTCCCACAACCTCTTCATACACATTGGGGATGTATGCTTCAGCATCTACCATGGTCACCAACCATTCCTCCCCTGTACGTCGCAGATAGGCCTTCTCATCACGGAATGTCTTGGTGGCTCTGATGTGCAGAGCTTTCTGTATCAGGGAGAGAAACATAGATTCATTAAAAGATAGGGCAGCCACAAAATATCACAGGAAAGCTCTGTACCCAACTAATGTGTGCACTGGAACACGAACAGTGCGTAGACAGGGGCATAATGGTCATATAACGCTTTGTACGTGGCACCATAATAAAGCTACATTGAAAACCAAGCTGATCATCATGGAGAACCATCTACCTGTGTCACTGCGATCTAGAAGTTGTCATGTGGTGCCATGCAGCTCTAGATGCAGGACATAATAGAGTACACAAATCTAGAAGCAACAGGGCTTTCAGAGACTTCAAAGCTGACCATGATAGGGAGATACAAAGATATTGCACTGTGTGGGTGATTATCAGAACTTGGGATTTACCTTGTCTGTAAGTACAAAGGCATCCACAATGTCCACCACTTCCTCGAACACACCAGGCAGATAGGCGCCAACTTTCTTCACCAGCCACTCCTCACCTGTGATGTAGACAGCTAGAATCAGTGAGGGCCAGGGACAGAAAGGGAACGAGGGACATCTAGGGATATTACTGTATAAATAGACAGATTAACTAAAGGTCGAGAGAGAATGGAAATTAAATCACGGAATTACAATTCCTCAGAAAGACCAGCAAGGACAGGATGGGGACTTTTAGAGACCAGCAGAGACATCAAGGGACTCACCAGTGACTCTTGCCTGGCCCTCGCGATCCAAGCACTCCTTGCGGGCACGCAGGCGGATAGCTTGGTTATGTCTAATTATTGTGGCTTGTATTGTCTGCACCACCTCCACCTCCTTCCGGGGAATATAGGTACCTGCCAAATTACAAAGCCGGGGTAAACCCACTCATGCCAAAAATCACTAATGTCACACGTTAAGAGACAAACTGCATTTAGAGTGTTATTAATCCCACCTGTCCTTCAAATACCCCTAAACCCCCTCACCTGTCCTGCAGATCCAACAATTCCCACTTAATTGACCCTTCAAACTGAGCCACTTGCCACATTCCCTATGCCCACACCTTTTGAACAATTACAAAGTCCCTCAACCTATTCCTTCAAATACCACAACTCACACTCAGCTATTCTTTCAATAACCAGATTCCACTCACTCAGTCCTGCAAAGAGACCCTAATCCTGCTCACCTGTTTTTCAGAAAGACCCTAATCTAGTGTTTCCCAAACCAGTCCTCAAGGTACCCTTACCAGTCCTGGATTATCCAGTGTCTAAGGTGTGTATTTTGTTTTCTTTTCTTCTTCAAAATATAAATAAATAAAACAACTGCGTAATTCCTTAATCATGGACTGGGAGGGGTATCTTGAGGACTGGTTTAAGAACCACTGCCCTAATCCTACTCACCTGGTCCTTCAAACAGACCCTAAACCCCCTCACCTGGTCCTTCAAACAGACCCTAAACCCCCTCACCTGGTCCTTCAAACAGACCCTAAACCTCCTCACCTGGTCCTTCAAATAGACCCTAAACCTCCTCACCTGGTCCTTCAAATAGACCCTAGACCCTAAACCCCCTCACCCGGTCCTTCAAACAGACCCTAAACCCGCTCACCCGGTCCTTCAAACAGACCCTAAACCCGCTCACCTGGTCATTCAAACAGACCCTAAACCCCCTCACCTGGGCCCTCAAACAGACCCTAAAACCGCTCACCTGGGCCCTCAAAGAGCCACTCATCCCCAGCCACAAACTTGTCATCGTCATCCTCCAGATCTAGCAGAGCTTTCAGGTGCAGAGCTGTGTTGGCGAGCACTATGGTGAGTGGGGTGATCCCCTGAGGCCAGTCCCAGCAGGAGAAGGAGATGTGTTACACAGACAAGGGAAAACCAAACAAACAAACAAGAGAAACATGAATAAAGAGTAACTTAAAGTCAAATAAAATAGAAAAAGCAGGAAGAAAAAAAACAAACAAAAAACCCACCACTAAATCTTTGTTCTAATAATGGAGAGAATTAACCCATAAAAAGGAATTCTTCTGGAACTTACAGCACTATGATTAGCATTAAAAAGAGAATAAATCTATTCTAGATCCAGAATGGAAAATAATACGGGAACACAGAAAGATGAGGGTTATATTCCCTAAAAGTGAAGAAAAAAAATGACCCCATAAAACACATTATGGGTTCACACCGATTTAGCTGTACGAACCTGCTGCAGCTCCTCTCCTGGGAACAGTGGGAATGGATCCTGCGCGAGTCGGATCTCCTGGTCACCGTGGCGCAGTTTCGCTTGGCCAACAGTATCAAACTGCACAGCATGTCCTGCGTCTTTTAAAACAGGGTTCTGGATCACACAGTAATGACGCGGAGGCACCATGATCATACGCTGGGGGTGGAACAAAACCCTGCAGAACATTGCACAGTTTAACAGAGATAACTACCTGCATGACATCAATATACCCCATTCCTGCAAGGCATCGACAGACACCTAGAACCTCCTCTAATCCCCACCTGTACAAAACACACATAACCAGAGCATGACATCAATATACAGAGCATGACACTAAATAACCATCATGCTATGCATGACATCAGACGCCTAGAACCAGCCGCACACACCTAGATAATTACACTGTTAGCCGGTCCCTGCAGAGCATCACTGTATGTACACCTAGAACATCCTAGCCCTGCCTGCAGAGCATCGCACAGTGCAAACCTAGAACCTGGCACTAACACTGCCTGCAGAGCATCGCACAGTGCAAACCTAGAACCTGGCACTAACACTGCCTGCAGCAGCATGCAAACCTAGAACCTGGCACTAGTCGCAAACCTAGAACCTGGCACTAACACTGCCTGCAGAGCATCGCACAGTGCAAACCTAGAACCTGGCACTAACACTGCCCGCAGAGCATCGCACAGTGCAAACCTAGAACCTGGCACTAACACTGCCCTGCAGAGCATCGCACAGTGCAAACCTAGAACCTGGCACTAACACTGCCTGCAGAGCATCGCACAGTGCAAACCTAGAACCTGGCACTAACACTGCCCGCAGAGCATCGCACAGTGCAAACCTAGAACCTGGCACTAACACTGCCCGCAGAGCATCGCACAGTGCAAACCTAGAACCTGGCACTAACACTGCCCGCAGAGCATCGCACAGTGCAAACCTAGAACCTGGCACTAACACTGCCTGCAGAGCATCGCACAGTGCAAACCTAGAACCTGGCACTAACACTCCCTGCAGAGCATCGCACAGTGCAAACCTAGAACCTGGCACTAACACTGCCTGCAGAGCATCGCACAGTGCAAACCTAGAACCTGGCACTAACACTCCCTGCAGAGCATCGCACAGTGCAAACCTAGATCCCTGCGCTAACAGACCATGACACCATGCATTCCGTAGAACACACTACTGCCACTGGCGAAGGGCTCTGCAGGCCGTGAAATTAAACGACAATTCATCAAAATTTTCACTTGTTATTTTTAAAACTTTATTCCATTTAATGAAATTACACTAGCAATTCTTTATATAGCACCAACATATTACTCAGCACAGTACGACAGGTAAACAAGACAAGATTTAATTCCAAAAAAGACACGTATGACGGGCCAGATTCCCCCTTTATCTGGCTGTGCAGCCTAACCTGCTGCTGTGATTGCTCTGCCATTTAGGTTGAGCAGCGCTTGGTCAGATAACAGAATCAGACCCAAGATGGCTCCTAACTTAGATTAAAAAATAAAATAATTCATTAAGATTGGTCAATGTAATAAACCAATGGTTAGTGGCTCACCGTTCATTGTCCTGTCGGATGTAGGTCTTGGGTCCAGTTTCCACCCGGGAGATGTTACTATTCTGGTCCAGAACATGGATATAATGATAGGGGGGGATCCGAATGATCGATTCCTCACTCATGTTGCCGGGTTAGAAATCTGACAGAACAGGAGAACTGAAATATAAAATAACAGAGCTAAGCAGAGTCCCCCAACCCGCCACATCAACTTTCATTTCTCCTCTTTTAGAGGCCTGACATTTAAAGGGACAGTCTGGAGAGAATGGGGTGACACAGATTTCACTCCTACTGGACAGCCAGATCACTTTCTATCATTTTATTATCCCTTTAGGGTAACTACATTTCCCCCGTAAACAAATAAAATAAATACATTTTATAAAAAAATGGTTTTAAAAAAAATTATTATTATTATTATTATTATTATATAGCACCAACAAATTCTGTAGCGCTGTACAATAGGTGGATTAACAGACATGTAGTTGTAACCAGAGAAGTTTGACGCACAGAAACAGAGGGATTGAGGTCCCTGCTCAAAGAGTGTCCATGCTGAAAATAAATCAATAAAAACTAAATAAAAGTAAGACAAAACGGGTTTTCCCGTAGGTGGGAAAGATCTAAGAATTATTTCTACATTGGGCGACCCATTATTGGTTCAGATAGAATGTATCCACAGTTACAGACTTAAAATCTACAAAGTGACAAGACATCAGCGCAGGTCGTTTTTTTTTTTTTGTTTTTTTTTTAAATAAAAACAAAAAAAAAATTGTGTCCGATTATTTCCCCTTTTTATATTTATTATGGAATTCACCCTTGGTTATACATAGATTACAGAAGGAAATACAGTGTCTAGTGAGGCGTGTGATCAATGTTCTTGGACCATTCCCAAGCCAAATTTACCCACAATCCATCACTCAAAAATAGAATGCCATGGACAGAGGAGAACAAGATGGCCACACCCAGGTATTGAACAGATAAATATTAATGAAGTCAGATGGACATGGGAAGCGTGTAATCATGAAAATACAATGGGCATAAAAAAAAGGAAAACTGGAGATTGTGGGGGGGGGGCGAGGGGGGAAACCCAACAACGGTACATTTTAAAAAAATGGGATGACGGAACCCTTTCAGTTATAATGTATTTAGATACAATCTGCTACAGTAACAGCAATCCTGTTAACAGGAGGAAGGCAAGACTGCTGCAAAGGGACATAATTAATTCAATGTTTCTATTCTAGTCCTTAATGCTGAATCCTATTTTAGAATATCGATTGGAGATTGCTGGATAAGTATTGTTTGCACTTTGGGGAATTTGTAGGAGTTTTACATGATTATGACGTCATTGCTGCCAATATTCACATCATTTTTGACGGTGGGACAGAGCTGGACGCAGTTTTTGGTAATAATATGCTCTGTATATGTACGGTTTGTGTGATTTTAATAGCATGATAAAAATCTCTTTTAAAAGATACAAAAATACAGTAAAAGTCACACCAACGCGTTTCGTCTTATTGACGCTTATAAGGCAAAACACGTTAGTGTGACTTCATTTCTTTTATCCTTTATAGATTTCTAATAAAGTAGTATATTTTGAATCTTCCCTGGACCATCCTGCTTTGTTCCTGACATCTGAACATTATATCTCTTGGTGGGGATTATACCACCTACACTCCGGGGACTGGGAAAAAAAAAAAACTTCCACCGGCTCCATAAAATGTGAGTGAGTATCTCTATATAAAATATTAGCCATACCTGCGATAAGCTACATACTATAAAACTGTTTTTTATTTTATAAAGATCCGTCATTAGACCAAGAGACACACACACCATATCCCCAGGTGGGGATCATCCCACTCAGGCACTTCAAAGCAGAGCTTACGGATAGCTCTACAAATTGTAAGTGCATTTCATTTTTTCTTCTTCCTATATACATACAACCTACTACACTATACAGCTCCTGTTATGTGTATCTTAAGCCTGTGTAGTCTAACCACAGACCTCCCAGGTGTCCCCATTTATGAACGACAGTCCATCTTTTATGCCCAATTCCCTCTGTCCCCCTTTTCTCACTCAATGTCCCTCTTTTCTAGGAGCTCAATATTGTTGACATGTCTGAGTGTATAACAGAGCTCCACAGCAATAATACTCCCAGTAATGTGTCGGAGTGTATAACAGAGCTCCACAGCAATAACACTCCCAGTTATGTGTCTGACTGTATAACAGAGCTCCACAGCAAGAATACTCCCAGTAATGTGTCTGAGTGTATAACAGAGCCCCACAGCAATAATACTCCCAGTAATGTGTCTGAGTGTATAACAGAGCCCCACAACAATAATACTCCCAGTAATGTGTCTGAGTGTATAACAGAGCCCCACAGCAATAATACTCCCAGTAATGTGTAACAGAGCTCCACAGCAATAATACTCCCAGTAATGTGTCTGAGTGTATAACAGAGCTCCACAGCAATAATACTCCCAGTAATGTGTCTGAGTGTATAACATGCGCAGTAGCCTTCAATTCTTCCCTATGAGCATGCATTGGATTGGCTGGAATCATCAGGACGGATGATCTCAGCCAGAGAGGCGGGGGGCTGCGGCGAGACTGACACCAGGGGAAGAAAAGGTGAATTTAACTGTTTTTAAACGCACACACCAGGAGCCTGAACAGCACAGCGTTAAGAAGACAGATTGGTATTTCTAACAATTTACTATAATGTTCCTTTAATTTGTGAACATTCAGAATCCAGTGAAGATTGTGTAGGCGTTAATCGGACAGATCTACCACATGCTCAAACTGAGGTAAAGTGTTTCCTGCAGCATTTCCTGCTTACGAAGAGTTAATGCCGTTTCTAGAGGACGCAGGGGTCAGTACAATACTGTAACAGCAGTGAGAACTGGGTCACCATGAGCTGCCTCCGCCATGCAAAGCTGAAATAACTCCGCCTCCTGCGCTTAGTGGCCGGGCTAGTTACTAAAGTGTGTGAAATGTCGGCTTGATTTTCCATTTGGATGTTTTAGATTAAAATATAAAACGTTTACTTTGAATTCCCGACAAGTCACACGTTGGTAAAAAAACACAGAAGACAGAATAATTTGTTTTTGTCGTATTGCTATGGAAACGCGGTATATTTCAGCTTGGAAAAATTAGTGAAATGGGTTTTCTTTTCTATATAGTTATTAAAATACACAAACGACCCCCGTAATATTATTCTTAGTGCTCCCTTGTACCATGCGCACTGGAATTATTTGGATTTATCTTCCCGTAGAGATAGAATAGTATTTACTAAGATAAACAATATATATTATAGAGCCGCCCCATTATAAATCAGGACTGCTGGCGAGTTGCCCCTTTTATTAAGGGGATCCCCTGGTACTGGCTGCAGTTTGGCACAGTGTAAGCGGCGGGCAGGGCAGGTACTATACAGGCCGTACAGTATAGAGACAGGTGCTGGGACTGCCGTGGGGACAGTGTGACGGAGTACTAGGAGAGCTGAGTCACTTAGTACTGTCCTCTGCTTACTGTATGTGACAGGGAGGTAAGGTGGGGCACTGCAGGTAAATAGCACCGGATCTAGGACACCTGCACCGACCGGGGACACCTGCAGACAGACACCTAAACTGGGGGACACCTACACTGACTGGGGACACCTGCAGAAACCTAAACTGGGAGACACCTAAACTGACTGGGGACACCTGCAGAAACCTAAACTGGGAGACACCTAAACTGACTGGGGATACCTACACTGACTGGGGACACCTGCAGAAACCTAAACTGGGAGACACCTACACTGACTGGGGACACCTGCAGAAACCTAAACTGGGGGACACCTACAGAAACCTAAACTGGGGGACACCTGCAGAAACCTAAACTGGGGGACACCTGCAGAAACCTAAACTGGGGGACACCTGCAGAAACCTAAACTGGGAGACACCTAAACTGGGGGACACCTGCAGAAACCTAAACTGGGGGACACCTACACTAACCGGGGACACCTGCAGACACCTAAACTGGGGACACCTGCACTGATCAGAGACACCTGCAGACACCTAAACTGGGCGACAACTGCACCGACCGTGGACACCTGCAGACAGACATCTTGACCCTGGGACACCTGCATCTAGAGATGGACTCTGCCATGTGGACAGTGTGACGGAGTACTAGGAGAGCTGAGTCACTTAGTACTGTCCTCTGCTTACTGTATGTGACAGGGAGGTAAGGTGGGGCACTGCAGGTAAATAGCACCGGATCTAGGACACCTGCACCGACCGGGGACACCTGCAGACAGACACCTAAACTGGGGGACACCTACACTGACTGGGGACACCTGCAGAAACCTAAAACTGGGAGACACCTGAACTGGGGGACACCTGCAGACAGATATCTTGATCCCGGGACACCTGCATCTAGAGATGGATTTTCTGAGATCTCAGGAGCAATAAACAGGGATGGATGGATGGATGGATAGAGGAATATCATTTGTTACACACTATGAGGGCGATGCAATATACTCTATAAGGGGGATATAGAGCCAGCAGTATACTCTATAAGGGGGATATAGAGCCAGCAGTATACTCTATCAGGGGGATATAGAGCCAGCAGTATACTCTATAAGGGGGTTGTGCCTGGCACACTGTTAGAGTTGGGGATCATGTGACACTATGTGTTGTGTATAGAGGGGCAGGGAGCGGTGTACTGGGGGCACCTACCTGCTGTCAGAGTTGCTGCAGAGTCTCAGACCAGGAAGCCAGGAGTGGGAGTGAGGACTGAGAGACACTCCCTGAACGGGAAGAGGACTGGATCTATATTAACCCCTCACTGCCCTGAGTGCACACTATGACTGTATTAACCCCTCACTGCCCTGAGTGCACACTATGACTATATTAACCAGTCACTGCCCTGAGTGCACACTATATCTATTATATTAACCCCTCACTGCCCTGAGTGCACACTATGACTATATTAACCCCTCACTGCCCTGAGTGCACACTATATTAACCCCTCACTGCCCAGAGTGCACACTATATCTATTATATTAACCCCTCACTGCCCTGAGTGCGCACTATGACTATATTAACCAGTCACTGCCCTGAGTGCACACTATATCTATTATATTAACCCCTCACTGCCCTGAGTGCACACTATGACTATATTAACCCCTCACTGCCCTGAGTGCACACTATATTAACCCCTCACTGCCCAGAGTGCACACTATATCTATTATATTAACCCCTCACTGCCCTGAGTGCGCACTATGACTATATTAACCCCTTACTGCCCTGAGTGCACAATATATCTATTATATCACCCCCTCACTGCCCTGAGTGCACACTATATCTCACTTGCACACTATATCTATTATATTAACCCCTCACTGCCCTGAGTGCACACTATATCTATTATATTAACCCCTCACTGCCCTGAGTGCACTATGACTATATTAACCCCTTATGCCCTGAGTGCACAATATATCTATTATATCACCCCCTCACTGCCATGAGTGCACACTATATCTATTATATTACCCCCTCACTGCCCTGAGTGCACACTATATATTAACCCCTCACTGCCCTGAGTGCACACTATATCTATTATATCACCCCCTCACTGCCCTGAGTGCACACTATGACTATTATATTACCCCCTCACTGCCCTGAGTGCACACTATATTAACCCCTCACTGCCCTGAGTGCACACTATATCTATTATATAATCCCCTCACTGCCCTGAGTGCACACTATATATTAACCCATCACTGCCCTGAGTGCACACTATATTAACCCCTCACTGCCATGAGTGCACACTATATCTATTATATTAACCCCTCACTGCCCTGAGTGCGCACTATGACTATATTAACCCCTCACTGCCCTGAGTGCACACTATATCTATTATATTAACCCCTCACTGCCCTGAGTACACACTATATCTATTATATTAAGCCCTCACTGCCCTGAGTGCACACTATATTAACCCCTCACTGCCCTAGTGCACACTATGACTATATTAACCCCTCACTGCCCTGAGTGCACACTATATCTATTATATCACCTCCTCACTGCCATGAGTGCACACTATAATAACCCCTCACTGCCCCGAGTGCACACTATATCTATATTAACCCTCACTGCCCTGAGTGCCCACTATATCTATTATATTAACCCCTCACTGCCCTGAGTGCGCACTATGACTATATTAACCGCTCACTGCCCTGAGTGCACACTATGACTATATTAACCGCTCACTGCCCTGAGTGCACGCTATATCTATTATATCACCCCCTCACTGCCCTGAGTGCACACTATGACTATTATATTAACCCCTCACTGCCCTGAGTGCACACTATATTAACCCCTCACTGCCCTGAGTACACACTATATTAACCCCTCACTGCCCTGAGTGCACACTATATCTGTTATATTACCCCCTCACTGCCCTGAGTGCACACTATATATTAACCCATCACTGCCCTGAGTTCACACTATATTAACCCCTCACTGCCATGAGTGCACACTATATCTATTATATTAACCCCTCACTGCCCTGAGTGCGCACTATGACTATATTACCCCCTCACTGCCCTGAGTGCACACTATATATTAACCCCTCACTGCCCTGAGTGCACACTATATCTATTATATTAACCCCTCACTGCCCTAGTGCACACTATGACTATATTAACCCTTCACTGCCCTGAGTGCACACTATGACTATATTAACCCCTCACTGCCCTGAGTGCACACTATATCTATTATATCACCTCCTCACTGCCATGAGTGCACACTATATTAACCCCTCACTGCCCCGAGTGCACACTATATCTATATTAACCCTCACTGCCCTGAGTGCCCACTATATCTATTATATTAACCCCTCACTGCCCTGAGTGCGCACTATGACTATATTAACCGCTCACTGCCCTGAGTGCACACTATGACTATATTAACCGCTCACTGCCCTGAGTGCACGCTATATCTATTATATCACCCCCTCACTGCCCTGAGTGCACACTATGACTATTATATTAACCCCTCACTGCCCTGAGTGCACACTATATTAACCCCTCACTGCCCTGAGTACACACTATATTAACCCCTCACTGCCCTGAGTGCACACTATATCTGTTATATTACCCCCTCACTGCCCTGAGTGCACACTATATATTAACCCATCACTGCCCTGAGTGCACACTATATTAACCCCTCACTGCCATGAGTGCACACTATATCTATTACATTAACCCCTCACTGCCCTGAGTGCGCACTATGACTATATTAACCCCTCACTGCCCTGAGTGCACACTATATCTATTATATTACCCCCTCACTGCCCTGAGTGCACACTATATATTAACCCCTCACTGCCCTGAGTGCACACTATATCTATTATATTAACCCCTCACTGCCCTAGTGCACACTATGACTATATTAACCCTTCACTGCCCTGAGTGCACACTATGACTATACTATATCTATTATATTAACCCCTCACTGCCCTAGTGCACACTATGTGCCCTAGTGCACACTATGACTATATTAACCCCTCACTGCCCTGAGTGCACACTATATCTATTATATCACCTCCTCACTGCCATGAGTGCACACTATATTAACCCCTCACTGCCCCGAGTGCACACTATATCTATATTAACCCTCACTGCCCTGAGTGCCCACTATATCTATTATATTAACCCCTCACTGCCCTGAGTGCGCACTATGACTATATTAACCGCTCACTGCCCTGAGTGCACGCTATATCTATTATATCACCCCCTCACTGCCCTGAGTGCACACTATGACTATTATATTAACCCCTCACTGCCCTGAGTGCACACTATATTAACCCCTCACTGCCCTGAGTACACACTATATTAACCCCTCACTGCCCTGAGTGCACACTATATCTGTTATATTACCCCCTCACTGCCCTGAGTGCACACTATATATTAACCCATCACTGCCCTGAGTGCACACTATATTAACCCCTCACTGCCATGAGTGCACACTATATCTATTATATTAACCCCTCACTGCCCTGAGTGCGCACTATGACTATATTAACCCCTCACTGCCCTGAGTGCACACTATATCTATTATATTACCCCCTCACTGCCCTGAGTGCACACTATATATTAACCCCTCACTGCCCTGAGTGCACACTATATCTATTATATTAACCCCTCACTGCCCTAGTGCACACTATGACTATATTAACCCTTCACTGCCCTGAGTGCACACTATGACTATATTAACCCCTCACTGCCCTGAGTGCACACTATATCTATTATATCACCTCCTCACTGCCATGAGTGCACACTATATTAACCCCTCACTGCCCCGAGTGCACACTATATCTATATTAACCCTCACTGCCCTGAGTGCCCACTATATCTATTATATTAACCCCTCACTGCCCTGAGTGCGCACTATGACTATATTAACCGCTCACTGCCCTGAGTGCACACTATATCTATTATATCACCCCCTCACTGCCTTGAGTGCACACTATATTAACCCCTCACTGCCCTGAGTGCACACTATATCTATATTAACCCTCACTGCCCTGAGTGCACACTATATCTATTATATTAACCCCTCACTGCCCTGAGTGCGCACTATGACTATATTAACCGCTCACTGTCCTGAGTGCACACTATATCTATTATATTAACCCTCACTGCCCTGAGTGCGCACTATGACTATATTAACCGCTCACTGCCCTGAGTGCACACTATATCTATATCACCCCCTCACTGCCCTGAGTGCACACTATATCTATTATATTAACCCCTCACTGCCCTGAGTGTGCACTATATTAACCGCTCACTGCCCTGAGTGCACACTATATCTATTATATTAACCCCTCACTGCCCTGAGTGCGCACTATGACTATATTAACTGCCCTGAGTGCACACTCCCCTCACTGCCCTGAGTGCGCACTATGACTATATTAACCGCTCACTGTCCTGAGTGCACACTATATCTATTATATTAACCCCTCACTGCCCTGAGTGCGCACTATGACTATATTAACCGCTCACTGCCCTGAGTGCACACTATATCTATATCACCCCCTCACTGCCCTGAGTGCCCACTATATCTATTATATTAACCCCTCACTGCCCTGAGTGCGCACTATATTAACCGCTCACTGCCCTGAGTGCACACTATATCTATTATATCACCCCCTCACTGCCTTGAGTGCACACTATATTAACCCCTCACTGCCCTGAGTGCACACTATATCTATATTAACCCTCACTGCCCTGAGTGCCCACTATATCTATTATATTAACCCCTCACTGCCTTGAATCTAACCTAAAGCTATTATATTAACCCCTCACTGCCCTGTGTGCACACTTTATTATATTAACCCATCACTGCCCTGAATCTAACCTACAGCTATTATATTAACCCCTCACTGCCCTGAGTGCACACTTTATTATATAAACCCCTCACTGCCCTGAGTGCACACTATATCTATTAACCTCTTACTGCCCTGAGTGTGCACTAAATCTAATTATCCCCTTGCTGCACTTCGTGCACATTACATCTATTAACCCCTTAAAGCACATAGTACACACGATAGCTATTAACCCATAATTTATTGACACCTTACTCCACTGAATCTAACCTATATCTATTAACTCCTTGCTACCCCGACAGCACAATATATCTATTAACCCCTTACTGTCCTGACTCTACAGTATTGAGTAACCTTAGCTCTACAAACTTACCTGAGCACAAGGTGCGCCCTGGATTTATTAACCCCTTCAGTACAGAGGACAGTTTGGATCTGTTAGCATAATGACCCCTTTGAGTAACACACCATGAGGACTGCAATGGTTTCCAGAATATATCATTATTGATTAGCAGGGCAG